AAAATGAAACATTTAAAAGTAAAGAACGTAAAATAAATTAATTAATTAATTATAACGGTATAAAGTGTAAATTTAAAATTATAATTTTAAAAAAAAATTGGTTGTGAGGGGGTGAGTGTATGTGAGGAGAGGAGGGGATGAAAAAGTGAAAAGGTGAAAAAGTGAGTATAAAGGGTATTTTGGTCATTTAAAATTTTAAGACTTTAAGACTTTTGCTAAATTTGCTTAATAAGATAGTATAGATAATTATAGGGGTATAAAGTGTAAATTTAAAATTATAATTTTAAAAAAAAATCGGTTGTGAGGGGGTAAGTGTATGTGAGGACAGGAGGGGGTGAAAAAGTGAGTATAAATTGTATTTTGGTCATTTAGAATTTTAAGACTTTTGCTAAATTTGCTTAATAAGATAGTATAGATAAGGGTACATTTTTATTAATTAAAATTTATAATAATTACACATTCCTATAAGTATTGTGACTTTTAATTGCCAAAATTTACTTTTGATAGGAGGGAGTATAGCATACGGAATCAAGCGTGATAAGAGGTAAAATACAAGACATAAACATAAGATTACGTATAGAAGTTTAGCATGATGTTAAGATGGGTTAAGGTTCCAGTGAGTGATAGTTAAAGGCGAGAAGCGTAAGAATGGATCTCCACTCTTAGATGCACATTAAGATGAGATGCAACGAGATGTATCAAATCAATTCCCATAAGAAGCGCAATTTATGGGCGAGCAAGAGATTAAAAGTGATCAAGAGTCCATATCATTTGTTACGCTTCTCACCTTAACTCTTGTTCTCACACGATCCTTCGCTTTACAAGAACAATAAGTTAACTTAAAATTTTGACATTTTGAGTTGATAGTTTTACAGTGATGTTATATAATGGCAGTCATTTTTATGTTAGAATCAGGTTAAATCATTCATTAAAACTAATATTGTATTTGTTTTAATAGTCACTACCACCATCAACAACCACAGTTGGCCACCTCCACCACAACTTCCTCTACCACCATCGGCAACCATAATTTGCCACTTCCACTACTACAACCTCCTCCACCACAATCACAGTCGGCCACCTCCACCATAACCACCACTGCTGCCTTACCATCACCTCTACCTTCACATTGCCTTCAATTACCTCCTCGACCATTGTAGGTCACCACCACCACTATTTACCATCTTCATATCCTCCACCAGCCACCACGTCTCTACCTCCACCAACATTGTCGTTGCAACAACCTCCACCTTGCCTCTTGTCTACCATATTTACATCCTCCAGGGACATCGTTGTCCACCACCACCACTAACACCACCCACCACCACATCTACCTTCACTTCATCGGATACAACTACCTCCTCCATCACCATCTTCACACCACCACAATCACCACCGCCTCTATCCCTACCACCATTGTCGCTGCAACAACCTTCATCGTGCATCCACCAGTTTATAATGATCTTCCAAACCGGATAAAACATAAATTTTCTTTTATATGAATCACAATTTTTCAAACTACCATCAATCATATCAAATTTTTCATTCAATATTGGTACTATTAGATATGTATGTATTTACGTGTATGAAAATTGTGTAAAAATTTAAATATTTCTTTGATCTGTATTCTTTGTAACTGTAACAATTATATGATTTGTAAAATCACGATACAATTATTAGGAACAACTTGTTTAATCCTTGTCCTATCCAGCACTAGTTGTCTAGTTATAACAAACACCATACAGACAACTTGTCATGTCAAGTCCAGTTCTACTATCTTGTCATGTCCAGTTTTGTCATGTTTGCGTACCGAACGTTACCTTAAAACATCTCCAACAATTTTCTACATCATTTCTCAAATAAAGAATCAAAGATTAAAATCTTAAAAAAAATGTCATTCAACTGCAAAAGATTCTTTATTTTGAGATTTCAACATTAATTATATTGTTAAGAATAATAATAGGAAAATAGTTTCTCTCTCCTCATATTTTAAAGAACTCTCTAAATTTAAGGTTTCTCTTTTCTCTATTTTAGGAACAATATAGAGAAACAAAACAAAGACCAAAATCTTTAAAATTTCTTAAGATTTAAAACCTAGTTTGCCTTAATTTTTGTTCACGTAACAGTTAACTTTTTTTATGGTTGGTGACTTGGTGTAAAAGTTCAAGTCTTCTATATACCTAAAAGAAGAAACCCCTGAAGTTTCACGAATAAGACTTGGGCCTTCGGTGATATTTCTCAAAATTCACGACTTTGAGTCCTACAAGGCCATTGAGGATTTTCTTAAATGTTCTTTAGGGTTCTTGAGAGTAGTCGAGGTGGATGCAAATTGATCTGGACACAACTGGTTAATAAAAAAATGTATTTTATCTTAAATCAGTACATTTCACTCAATTGTCCCCACAACTTCACCATATCCTACCAACAAAAAAATGCTATAGTTAGGGGATGGAAATATCTTAACCTCAATTTAGTAAACGTTACCATTCGATCTATAACCGACCTCTATTCTTTGTTTTCATAACCTATCTCTACTTCTCCGATCTCACTTGCCTAATTATCACCAGGGAAGCATTTAACCGATAATGTTTGGTGAAGGGCCCTTAGAAAAGTTGCATCCATACATAAATGCATGCAAAGTTGAAACACTTAAAAGTCATTAGGCATTCAGAAAAGTTGCTGATATAAAAAAGGGTGAACCTGCTTCTGGTCCTAGGATCAACTTACCGGTTGTGACAGGCTAACCCTTGTGACAAGTTACTAAGGTACAATAAGACGTTAATAACCGAGACACAAACTTTAATACAAAGATGAATAAAACTTTGATATTTGTTAATGGAATTCAACTTGTTAATAGTTCATCTATGAGACCATTGCCAATATAAAAAATGGTAGAGTAAACTTACCACCTCATTGAGTCATGAGTATTGGGTTCAAATCTGTTATTGGTTGTATCTTTTCTATTCATGCTTGTTCAAGAAGGTAGGTTGATTAGTAGAAGCTAGAAGTCTAGCCCACATCCTGTCCGTCAACTTCACAACGTTTGTAGCCTCAGTCACGCGCTGCAATCACATTCACATCACAATATTATAAGGAGGAGATTCCTATCAAAAAATCTCAACTCAACCTAAAAAAAGGACAACTGTGGGAATATGTGGAACCCCATCTTACTCTCCAAAAGTCATTTGAGGAGAGGAGAGGTTCCAACATATATCGAGAAGAAATGGTCCAAGTCTAACAAGAATAAACTGCAAATCTTCCTTTTAGAATCATACTTGCTGTTCTTCATATCATAAATACATAAACTCTCATCATTTCCATAAAAATCTCATTTGATTGATTTGTATGGTTTGTACTAATTAGAGGGTTTGTATTTGAAACTTCCTTTTATATAAATATATATAGATCCGTCTACTTAACATCGGCTTTCTCCACTTGGTAATTAAGAGAACCATATGTAAGCCCTTGAAGATTGCTCTAATGTTTAAAGGTCTTAAAAAGTTATAAAATGCACCATTTAAGCACTTCAACAACACTAAACTGACTCGAGTAAACCTTTCTATGACTTTCTGTTTCTCAGAATCAAAATAGTTGGAGGCAACATCATGACATGAAGCAGCAACGGAAGCAACAAGTCGATCCAAGTCCATGTTAAAAATAGCATATTTAATTTCAGCATCGAGAAAAGGTTGAGTTTGAAACGAGCATTGAAGTTAATACAGGATGATCAATGAATAAGCTCTCTAGCATGCAAGCATGATCAAGAACATTAAGTATAGAAAGACGATAAAAACGGGCTTATAGTATTTACCCCAATTGGAATATATGCATGTCTGCTGTTCACAGGTCCAACCGTGAAACCTGTGTATCCTGCCATGGCCCCATGAATTGCGCTTTGAGCAAGAAGGGTGCAATATATATTATCTGATGCGTTACTTGGAACCGCGCGGATCATGTATGTTGGATCTGCAGATTAAAATGGTTAGAGTAGAGCATAAATTTGCAAAATAGCATCAATTTCTTTCATGCATGGCCTGCTTGAAAATCAGATGAAGCAAAGTGATAAGAAAATAAAATAAAAATAATAAACCCATGTGCAGCAAAGTAAAAAAGCAGCCTCATTCAATTCAAAAAAGAAACCCAAACAAACCCGGTACATCCCACCCGAAGGTGGGGTGGGGGGATGTACAGAGACCTGACCTCTACCTCAAAGTGTAGAGCAGCCATTCAGTTTCAAAAAGTACCTATATATTTCAGGTTTACAGACATTCCCTTCACCGTTGTAAAATGATCCTGTACATGCAACACAATGGAATTTAGAATTTTTGTAAATGATTCTAAAATGAGACCATGATACTACAGATTAAATGCAATGTTGTGGGAAACAAAATCAGAACGTCTTCTGTCCCAAACAAGTTCAGTATGATAAAATGAGGCAGATCAAATATTTAACCAAGGCTCAGAACACTCAAACATTCCATGGCTCCAAAACCTAATTATATGATTTGTTAATTCTCTTTCAATTGCTTTCTTATAAAGAAACATCTTCTGTCAAAATGTACAATTTATTGTTACCATATTAAGAAAATAGAAGAACGAAAATACACCATTCAAGTCATTCCCACATCCATCCTTCTCCAGGAACAAAAAGGATAGTAAAGTGATAACATAACTCAACTCCATTCTACAAAATTCCCAAGTATCTTCAATCAAAATGTACACATGATGGATTTAGGTATGTCTAAAAGGCTAAAACCAAACAAAGCAAACTCAATATATCTCACCCGCACATAGGGTCCGGGGATAAGATGCCTCTACACCTTAAAATTCCAAAAGTCTCTTCTGTCTTACCAAGTTACTGGATACCCTGAAAAATGTACGGCAAAATTCCACCGATTCCCGAAAATTGCTCATTGATTAAATTTTACATTACCAATCACTTGTATCTATACCATGTTCTTTGTTATTTACAACATTCTCTCTCCAAAATATTTCCTCATTTTACAAGTGATGTAACTGCAAATAATAAATCTGCAATGAGTGGCACTTGTGTTGATAATTGTCAATGCTAAATTTTGGATAAAGAAATGCATGGGTGTGTATATATTATATTAAAATTACAAATTCCCAGAAATGAAAGATATCAAAACCAAGAAATATGGTCAACCCTTACCATACCTTAATTTTCTGAGTCAACCATAGACCAATATCAAGAAGCAGCCTATTTCCAGATGCATCTTTCTCCTCAGGTGCATTCACACTTCCAGAGAGATAGTCCTGACCTGCGCCTTCTGCTAACACAATCACCACATGCCCATTTTCTTTAAGTCTCTGTTGAACAAATTCAAAAAGCCCACCCTGTCCTTCCAGATAAAATGGAGACTCTGGAATCAAGCAGCAATCCTGTTACAATCCAGAACCTATTAACATATCTTGCCTAGAACATATATTTACAGGACAACAATAACAAATCATTATTTTGAGAAACAGGTGAAAACCAACAGAAACAACAACAATCACAATTGATCCAATTCAATCATGCAAATCCTGTGTTTCCTGTTCGTAGTTACTGTAATTACCATCCTCACGGAATATAATATTGCCAAATATGGGTATGCAACCCATATTAGAACACTGAGCATAAATATCATTCACAGATGCAAAAAAAACATAGGGAGGCAATTCAATAAGATTGATACAGCTAGAGTTGTTAAAGATTCGAGCATTTAATGAGCTACTCGAGCTTAGTATTTCTCGATCTCGAGTTGATCTCTAGCACAAACAAAGCTACTTTTAACTCAACAAGTCAAGCTCTGTAACACCAATGTTTGACTCGGCTCGCTCAAAAGCTCGATTAAGATTTTCAGATCAAGTGACACAAGTACACATTTTTTTGAGCCAAACGTGTTCATATGTACATAAATCATACAATCAAATTATAAAAAAATTCAAGCACAAAGCCAATAGACGAGTTATTTGATCTTGACTTTGAACCCATTAATGAGCTTATAAAGCTTGAATTTTAGGTCATATTGTATAACTCAAAATTGTCAAACAAGCATCAAGCTCGAGCTGAGCCCAAACAACCTGCTACTCAATTCAACTAGTTAACACCCCTAGATACAACTGTTCTAGAACATTTATCCTTTGAACTTTTTAACATTTATTCTTGAAATAGAAAATAAAGGGAAAACTCTGATATTTAAATAAAAAGAATCCATGAATGCCAGAACAGCCAAGTTTATATGCTTATTAGATACTGACAAGCTAATCAAGAAAAAACAATATAATACAATACTAGAGAAACAAACCACTAACTAATAAAATGACTATAAAGGCACATGATAAAGAATGAAGTGCATGCTCATGTACAAATCCAAGGTTCAGATCTCAAGCCCGGTTGTCTAAGTTAATGTCATATTCCTCATTTCATAGCTATATACAGAAATAAGTCCAAGTAAATCAATATGTTTTCAAGCCAGAGACTTTGATTCCCCGTTTAGTTCTTAAGATCTTACCACATCTCGACTTGCCAGCGTAGCAAACATAGCAATGAATCCTGAAAGGTCAGATAAGTTTGGAAAAATAAGAACTAAAATCTCAACATCTTATACATTAGGTCAAATATCCATATACTTGCCACTATATCGACCCATAAGTTTCACTATTCCAACTCCATTTTCAACGCTCTCCACCTCCACATGTGCAGCATTTATTGCCCTCTGAGCTTCCTCAACAGCAGTATCAAATCCAAAAGATTTGTCTATCACCTGAATAAAGAAAGAAGAAAAGAATCATTCCCTTTTAACATCAGTAACAAGAAATATTTCCAAACAGCACATAAGTTATCACGGGAGCATTATGTATTCTCCTGGTTATCTTTACCGGATGAGACCAATTTGCATAATATATAAGAAGCTATCACCAGAAATATCACCATTCTGTAAAATGATGCTCATCGACCATTTTGAGCATTAAAACAATAAAAGAAATGACGATCAGTGTGTGGATAGGGTTAAGTTATATTTTTTCTGTGCATACTGAACCTACAGAAACTCAAACCAGGAGTCATTTAGTAAGACCACAGATATACACGTAGATAGAAAGACACAAAGTCGTCACTATCAAGACTCAAGTTGTCCCACAACGTCTGGTCTTAAGCCGCTAGAGAGGATCTATCAGATACGAGAATGGTTCAAAGAACTTACAGCAATATCATTATCAATCGTTTTGGGAATCCCAGCTACTGCCACGTGAAGGCGACGCTTTTCAACTTCCTTTCAGAAAAAATCAAAACTAACATATTGCCATATATATCAAAGTTGGCAAGCCAACCGAAAACAAACATAATCGTCAAAAAAGCAATCACCTTGTAAATAGCAGCTGCTCCTTTCTGAGTGCCATCACCTCCAATTATGTACACCTGGAACACCCAAGACTTTTTATGAGTTCTCTTAAACAGTTCAAACTAGCCACCAACGTTGTTGTAGAGGGAAAGACCATCCACCTGATTTATCCCACGGTCCTGGATGTTATCAACTATCTTGTTGGTATCCTGACCTCCTCGTGAAGTTTGAAGAATAGTACCACCACGTTTATGGATGTCATTGACAATTTTCGGACTTAGTTCCATGGTATTTCTTGAGTAGAATCCCCTATAACCTCCCTGGAATATAGAATGGCATATTGTTGGATAAATGATTGCCAGTTTCGTGAGAAGCATTTTATTTGTTTGGTCGCTTAACTTGTTTAATTTTGAAAATTCAACTATATGGTTTAGGAACAAAGATGTAATTTGGATCCTGTTCGCTTGAATAGATAAGAAATGGAGAAGGAAGCCACAAAAGGAACAAAGCTACGCAAATGAACTGAACTTATGCTTCTGCAGTTTTTTTTTACTTGATCATTCAGGTAACTTCTACAATCACTAAAGAAAGAATTATCATTCTATTTACTTCTTTTGCCACATTCTAGAAGCAGCAAATGTGTTCCCTTCTAGCATACATCACACAACAAAGCAAAATGGATTTGACCACTTACCAATTATAATATATGATGATTTGTTGTATATTTATGTGATTGCTAAACACTAAGCCAGAATGTAGATTCGCTAATAACATTAACATATAAGTATATAACATGATATGCTTGGGGTAATTGCAGTATTTACCGTCAAAATGAACAGCCTAGGAAAGCCCATTGTAAGCTAACTTACTGCATATTTATAATATAAAGCAAGAAGGGCAGGGAGGGATGATATGACCAACCTCGATCCCAAGTATATTATTGACACCATACATGATATTCAAGCCACATACGATCTCCCTAATCACTGTGTTGATCCCTGGACACAAACCACCACATGTCACAATACAAGCTCGTACTTCCTCCGGCTTGAAATAAACCTAGCAATAGAAAATGCTTAGACTAAAATGAAAATGGCCCAACTAGCTTAAATAATTAATCACAAAATACCTTTTCCCTGGGTCCTGCACGCCGAAAGTGCACTCCTCTCGGACTGCCTTTTTGGACAACAATCTGCAATAAGATGTCAGGGTTACCAAATTATATTTGATGGCAAAAGGGCTGTGTGGAATAGTTCGAGAGAAAGAGTCACATACTTGATATGCTAGAACATCTTCTGGACTAACAAAAGTATTTCTGAGAAAAATAGTAATATACCTTTTAGTAAGTTGCAAAAATGCTCAGACACATGTATAAGGGAAGTTTCATAAAATCACCAGCAAATACAAGATGTTTATAACATAAAAGATTTAAAAACCAGAAAAACTTACTTAACTATTGCATAGGCCTGGCTGGACTCTAATGGGTTTGGATATGTCTGCAAGAAGAAAGATTAAACCAACAATTACCAACTGTCAAATAGCTATTGCATTATCAATTTTATACTCCCATAATTGCATATCACAAACAATGGGAGAGGGAACCACAAGGGTGGTGCCTGATTGGTTTGAGCTTGGCTCCAAAGGTCAAAAGTGCCTGGAGATCTCAGGTTCAAATCCAAGGAGGAACAAAAATCTCCTTGTGGCCACAGAGGTTCAAATGTGGTGACTCCGGGATACCTGCAAAGCAGGTGGTCGCCCTGGGATTAGTCGGCTCGCGTGGCGGGTTGGATATCCAGATTAATCAAAAAAAAAAAAAAACAATGGGAGAGGGGGTATATTCTGTTATAGTAACTAATAATATGAGTAACAATATGAAAACAAAGCAAATTCATTTTTTCAGAGTGGACCTGTGGACTATGCCACTGTGGCATGAAGCTCCAAAGTCTATATCGCTGTTCTACCTACTATTGCATACATGATTGCTGCCTAGTATTCTACTTGAAAGTTAAATGCGAGAAACTGTGGTATATCTTAGACATGTTAATTTGATGATGTAAATCCTCTGTATTATCCTTTTGTTTATTTATTTAGGTAGAGCACATAGTGTATTAGTCCCTCCATTGAAAAATAGAGTCCACTTTGTCATCTTCTCATCCAGAAAAGAGCTCCATTTAGGTAGCTCTCGATCAAACTCATACTACTCTCAAAAAATTGGTTCTTGAGGACAAAAGGAGTGGATTGAAGTTCCAGATAAACATCGAGTTCGTTACTAAAACGGACACAAATATTTTCTTGTTCGAATCATGTCTTGCAGTCATCAAATGTTTCCTCAAAAACGTAAATAATGTCAACTTCAAAACCGAAAACTGGTTTAATCGACTTGAAAACATTTACCGGTAAATCAGGTAGGTAATTAGTCAAGTGAGGAACATCTTCAAGGACAAAACCATCGTCATCATCATCGCTTGGAGTGTTGTTCTGATTCAAACTTTGAGCTCTGATTGGGTAATAACCAGTGATTAACGACTTCCTGGAGTAAGTTTTGGGTTTATAAGTGAAATTGGTGAAGAAGGGAAGGGGTTTGTGGAATCTGGGAGAAAATGTTGAGGTTTGAATGCGAGAAAAATGGGAATTTGAGGAAGATGCGAGTGAAAGATCCATTGAAAATGTGGTTTTTGATTGAAATGAATGAAATCAAAAGGGTTTTCCAAAGGTTTTGGGCGATGCGTATACTCAGGATTCAGGAATGATCGTACAAGTTGAAGTTGGACTGTGGGAACGACGAAGGTCAAATTCGATACAACCACTTATTTGGAATTGAAATTGAACTTTCTAAATCGGTGAATTGTGCGATTTCAATTTGTTATTTTATATGATTTTTTAATTTATAATTTTTATATATATATATATATATATATATATATATATATATATAAAAGAAGAAACCACATGCAGGGCATTTTTTCAAAACAAGAAAATACTTTATCTTTTTTCTCTTTTTCTCAAGTTTTTTCTACCTTAATATTTGTTTTTTATTTTTTATATTCACATTTAAGATCCTTTAATTATGTTGTTTCAACTTATTCATGTTCCCTCTAATAAATACTCTTTTAACTCTAATTATTTTTCTTTATTCGGTTATAATTTTTCATCTTCTCTTCATAATACACCTCTATAATAATCTCTTAATTCTTCATCTCTACTCATGTATAATTTTGTGGCACACCTTTATAATAATCTCTATATTAATCTCTCAATTCTTCCTCTCTATTTATGTATAATTTTGTGGTACACCTCTATGATAATCTCTCTATTAATCTATCAATTTTTCCTCTCTATTGAGTTATAAATTTATGGATGTGATTTGCATTTTTGTTGATTTGATGTGTCATTCAATAAGACAATCATAGTATGGGTTTTTGTTTATGTAAGTATAATATTTCTTTTTTTAGTCGGAGACATTCACATTTAAGTTGGAATTATGTAGGCATATAGATTTTTTTTGTGTGGATAAAGTGACATGAATCCTTGAAGAAACAGTGTAACATTGTTTAAGAACAAATGAATAATATCCCTCTTAATCTCTCAATTCTTCCTCTCTACTCAATTTTTGAGATGATTTGCATTTTTGTTTATTTGAGACGTCATTCAAGAAGAGAAATATGATATGGTTTTTGTTAATGTAAGTATAGTATTTTCGTCTTTTAATTGGAGACATTCACACTAAAATTGGAATTATGCAAGCATATGAATCTCTCTATTAATCTTTCAATTCTTTCTCTCTATTCAATTATAATTTTGTGGAGGCGATTTGCATTTTTGTTGATTTGAGGCGTCATTTAATAAGACAAATCATAGTATGAGTTTTTGCTTATGTAAATATAATATTTCATCTTTTAGTCGGACAATTCACACTAAAGTTGGAATTATGTAGACATGTGAATTTTTGTGTGTTTAGATAAAGTGTCATATGAATCTTTGATGAAATAAGATAACATTGTTTAGCATAATAATCTCTTTTAATTTCTCAATTCTTCTTCTTCGTTCAGTTTTTGTGGATATGATTTGTTTTTTTATTGATTTGAGGCGTCATTCAAGAAAACAAATATAATATAGGTTTTTGTCAATGTTGATCGATCCATTGTAATTTTTTTCTTCTTTAGCATTGAGCTTAGAAATTATTTTCTAATATTTTTAATTCTCAAAGAAGAAACCAAACATAATGAGATCTTATCCTCTAAACATTAGAAACCCATTTTTTCTTAGATTTTTATTTTTTAAAATATTTGATATATGCAAAAGACTTTTTCATCCCTATAATTAAAATATGAAATTCATTAGGATAAGGTTGTTTTTTTCAAAAATGAAAAAGGTTGAACGTTAAACTTTTTAAAATTACCAAAACAACATTATCCTAATGAATTTCATTGTTTAAATATTGAGATGAAAAATTTAGGTTTACTATCATAGTACTAATTTAGGTATTATTCTTTCTCTCCTATCACTTGATGTATTATTCATTTTTCAAACTCTTTTTCTTCAACAATCTATTTTTTCAGGTAATCTTTTATTTTCTCTGTCCATCAATTGATTTGTTCTTTCATTTTATAAACTTCTATTATTCAATAAGATCATTTTTCAGGTTTACTATGAGAATACTAATTTAAGTATTATTCTTGACTTTTGTTGGGATTTTAAAGTTTATTTTTTTATTTTTTTCTTCTATATTTTTCTAAGTTTTTTCAATGGAATTGAGGATTTGTTCTTGACAGCAGTTATAGAGTTTTGATGACTACAATGGTTCAATAATTGAATTTTGAATATTTGTGTTAAAAAATATATGATATAGCCTCAACAAACTTCAATATGTTCTTTTTCAATTGTTATTTTTCTTCCAGATTAATACAAGAAGACTAATTCTACATTCTTTTTCGACTTTTGTTAGAATTTTAGAATTCTTTTTTATTTACATGACACTTAAATATAATAATATGTATGTTTTTATTTATAAAACAATTAAATATAATAAAAAAAACTTAGTATAATTGATATATATATATATATATATATACCAACCTCTATATAGGGGAGCGATCAAATGCAAACCACTCAATTTGTACAAACCGTGCAAACCGCATTCAACCAATCATAATTTTTCATTTTGTTCATTTTTTTGTAATTATGAGAGGTTGATTAATCATTTTTATTGTGGAGGGTGTTAATCATAGATATTATCATCTTCATTATTTTAATTTTAGAGAAATACATGATTAGTTAGATTCATATATCAAATGTAATATTGATTCTTATTAGTTTAATATATAAATGTGATCATCCACTCATTTAGCTAACTTTAATAAATTCTTAAAAAATTTATCGTCATCGCGCAATGCGCAATGTCAAACACTAGTTATTATAACTTAAATATAGTAATTAAACAATTTATAGCCGATACAAATGTAGATCACGAAAAATGAGACTCTTTGAGGCTAAAGATGGTAACCGGATTGGGGTATTGGAACCCAATCCTTGTCCTTAGTGCTAATCTCAAAAAATTCATCCAAACCGTTAGATTGAGATGATCCAATAAATATTGTTAAAAAAGATGATTATAATCATTTTTTAAAACTAAATATTTTTAATCAACAAAAATTAGAGTGTAACGAATTGCACCAAAATCGATGATTTGATTATCTTTAATTTGCATTCATATTGATATATTTTTTCATCCGTTTTTTCGTGATTCTTTGAGTAATTGTCTGAGATCCTCCCCTGATGTCAACCCTAATTGCTGCACTTGCACGAGAATATATATATATATATATATATATATAGAGAGAGAGAGAGAGAGAGAGAGAGAGAGGAACGATCAAATGAAAACCACTTCAATTTGTAAAAAGTGTAAAAACTACTCTCATCCGTCGTTAATCTTATGAAATTTTTTCATGAAATTGTTAATCTTGTGAAATTGTTTCATATAATATTTTTTTGATGAAGTTGTTTCATATGTGGTTATGAAATTGTTTCATATACTACTTAATGAAATTTTAATGAAACTGTTTCATGTATTTCTTTAACATTAAAATAATGAAGATGATAATATCCATTAGTAACACCCTCCACAATAAAAATGGTTAATCAACCTCTCATAATTACAAAAAAATGAACAAAATAAAAAATTATGATTGGTTGAATGAGGTTTTCACGGTTTTTATAAATTGAGTGGTTTTTATTTGAACACACCCCTATATATATATATATATATATATATATATATATATATATATAGTGACATTTTATGTATCAAAATCAAAACCGAAATTTAATTGTTGCACTTACACAAGAGTAACATCAAACAAATCGATAACATCGTCGACCATCCACTATACAGAAAATGAATTAAGGAATACAGGAAATATCTATTAGAATTGTAATTAAAATAAATTAATATTATATTATACATAACAGTTTCTCTCATAATTGAAATAGTTCTATTCCATTTAGGTTCAAAATATTACGGGTTACTTATACACTTCCAAGCAAGATCGGAAACAATTATGTTAACTAATCCAAAAAACTGTAATAGGGAAATCCGGATGGAAACCCCGAATAGCCTGATCTACAATCACACTTTTAATCAATTCAAAGTATAATTGTCAATGGATAGACCTAAGACTTAGGGGCCGTTTACCAAATGCTTACTAAGTTAAGTGAACACCAAGTCACATTACCTTACCGAATGAATATGGTAAGAACCAAAAATTTTACCCGGTAAGAGCGAGACAATGACCAAGAGTCTTACCCGGTAAGTGAGGACGACGACTCTTACCATGGTAAGCATTTACGGGGTAAATTGTTGCATATGATATTGTTTTGGTGGATTAAAATCTTACTCGATAAGTAAATGATAGTATTAAATTTTACCCGTAAACGCTTATCAGGTAAGTGTTTGGCTAATGACATCTTATTTCATGAAGTATCTTTAATTATTTATTTATCTACTTTAGTCTAGAGCATCTTTAATAGATTCTTCAAAATAAGAAAAAAGAATTACAATTTCAAGCTACTTTTTTGCTTTAAAAGACTTCCCAAAACTGGATAATGTAAGAGAGAAACCGTAAAATTATCCAAATCTGGAGAACTCCCAAAAGTTAAATGTTTAGAAAAGAAGTTTATTGAGATTAAATTAATGTTTATTAGAGAGTTTATTTTAATAATATAATTAATGTCGAAAATAAAGAAGTTGTTAGATTTTTTTTTTTTTGAAATTTTAACTTTTGATTATCTATTGTGTAGAAATTTTGAAATATCTGTTGGAGATGCTCTTAGGTCGTTATAGTCCATAAGTAATTATAAAACTTTGCTGTATAATTTTTCAAGTTTGGAGACCCGAGGGGTGTCCCATCCCTGACCCCTGCCTTGATTTCTAAATTTGGGGATTCCTAGATTAAACGAGGTTCTGATATTGAGTTTTTACAGGTTTTAAAAGATGTGTCATGGCGAGACACATATTCACGTTACAATAAGGCCTATAACGTTTGTGTAAGTCGTATCATGATGTCTTGAGGCACGATATAAGAGATGTGGCATGCATTTTATTACAATGCGTGATTTTTTCAATTTTTTTTATTTTTTTAGTTTTTGTATTTTTTGCATTTTTAACTATTACTTTCATACATTTACCTAATCACATTACTCATAATTTCACAGGCTTACACACATCATGGACTCGGTTAAAACAAAGTTGTGATATCATTCGCGTTTCTATTTTAAATATTTAATCACAAACTTTTTATATAATACTTATATATATGATTTTTCTTCTAATATGAATGTAAAAGTTTCTAATATAATTATCTCATGAAATGATGAACATAAAAGATATATGTAACGCAACCTAAAATTGAGTGGAATACTAAGAACCTCCCACAACACAGTACATGACATATTCATTATGAATATAGACGTGTTATTCATCATGAATCACACAATTCAGGATAAATAACACTTTCATATTCATCTTGAAGAGAGACTTGTTACATGTCATGGACGGTTCTGCAGTTCCTAATCAATTTTGTGTTTCTAATGAAACTTCCGTCTATGTATATGTTAAGTTGAGAATCATAAGAAGGGATATCCATCCTTAGATTAGGATGAGATGCACCAGATCAATCACCGTATCAAACGCGATTCATGAATGGGTCTGAAATTCCCTTTTTATGCTTTCCACCTTAACTTTTGTGTTACATCCTGAAGAGCATTACGTCTTACACCTCACACCATTTAAAACGTTAGTTTTCCTGGTTAGCAATATCTAATCGAGGCCGGGAATTGAAAAATGAAAAACGGTAGCGATGGTACGGTCGACTTATTGGTGGATGGGTAATGTCGGTTGACAGTAGTAGCGTCGTGGTGAGATCCATCAAAGATGAAAATGATGAACATCTGGTACTGGTGTGGTGGGACAGCAATTAAAAAAGGAAGTAGGCCTTCTATGATAAAATAAAAAATAAAATAAACACATAATAATTCTTGCTACTACATATATATTACTTGTAAACTACGTACGTACTACTTACTACTACTCTCTTGCAACTCCTCGTGCATGGCATCACCCCTTCTTTCTTTCTATGTTCATTTTGAACACGTTTTTCCTGCACCAAATATAACATAGAAATTTGTATGTATGATTGAACCAAAGACGCACAGCTACCCATTTGATTCCACAATTTCATCTTTCTTAATTCTATGGTTTTATGTATCTCCATATATTTGGACTACAATATATTATATCTAATGAGAAGATAGTTATTTGGACTACATTATATCTAATGAGAAGATAGTTATTTGGACTACATTATATCTAATGAGAAGATANATTATATCTAATGAGAAGATAGTTATTTGGACTACATTATATCTAATGAGAAGATACTTATTTGGACTACATTATATCTAATGAGAAGATAGTTAGGGGCCGTTTACCAACACTTACCCGGTTCGTCTTTACCCATAAAATTTAACACTATTATTTACTTACTGGGTAAAATTTTAGTCCACCAAAACGACATTGTATGCAACAATTTACCTGGTAAACGCTTACCGTGGTAAGAGTCGTCGCTCTCACTTACCGGGTAAGACTCTTGGTCCTTGTCTCGCGCTTACCGGGTAAGATTCTTGGTCTTTATTATATTCATGCGGTGAGGTAATGTTACTTGGTAAGCGTTTGGTAAACGGCCCCTTAGTTTTCTAACAATATTCACACTTCTTGATCATCCTATTCCTAGTCTTTTCCCCTCGGGGTGCCTTAGATATTCTGGTGGATGTGGTTCGCCCCCACCCGAGCGCTTTATTTGTTGTTTTGTGTTTAGTGTTTTGCCTTGATCTGGAGGGGTCTCCCCCCTCCCTATAAAAAAAAAACAGGTTTATGCAGAAGCGAGAAATCAAATGCATGACGCAGCCTCCGTTAGGTATGTGTTCACAATTCTTGGTTTTAAGCGATTTATGTTTAAGAGCATTTCCAACCATCGATCATCAATAATTCAAAATCTCTAGAAAAAATTTACAAACTCCTCCGTCTTGAAGATTACTAATATTTTATACAATTAAACATTTATTTCTTGAACATTATAATTAAGGTCTACTGATGACAATCTAATGAAAATTATCTCCTTCATGGTAATCACTTTTGGGGAGTTATCCAAATTTGGATGCTTTCTCCATTGTGAAGAAAGTTTTGGAAATTCCATTGGAGAAAAAAAAAACTTGCCCAAAATCTCCGGCTTGGAGAATCTGTTGAGATGCTCTAAGCCTACATATATCTCCAGAAACTACTCTGAATGGGATTCATTGGTTCGTTTCATTTGGTTTAAACATGCAAGTGTGGGTGCATTTGATGCAAAGGAAAATTAAGGGGATCCACAAATGAAGGTAATGAACTAATGATGAAATATATCATCTAGATCTTACAAAAGTTGATTTTTGACTCGATAACAAATGTCTGAAACTTTACCTTTAGAAAAGAGACGTACACCCTGTGCCAGGACCTTTAATATTAGGATCTGGCATGACGTTTAGAGACAAAAATGATCTATCATGTGTTGAATAACATCTGCCCCATCTGTATGCAGGTTGTGATCTTTCACCTGCATCCGAATCATAATAGTTATGACCAAACAAATGGAATGATGAGGCCATAAAAGTGAACATTTATCTATTTGCTTAACATTTATCTTTATATTCACAGATGGAGGCACTGGCAGTCAATTACGATGGATTGCATCCGAGCAGCTATGGAAAAATGAAAAATCCCACATCCTCTGGATTGGAGGAAGTATCAAGAAAATCCCAGAAGCATTGTTTGGCACTTTTATAATTTAATTATTGAGTGAAATAGTTTTCACTCTCTCTATTTGGCCCTTGAAGCACTTGTTGTCACCTTTTCCCTCCTGCTACTAATTGTTGACCAAAAGTTGACTTTATCTAAACACAGTTTCCGTTAACATGGGTGGTACTCTGACATCAGTTTAACAAGAGAAAACTGGTTAAACCACTTCCCTTTTTCTGGCCAGAAAGTAGGAACAGTGGGGAAAAGTGGTAGAAATACAAGGGCAATGGCCAAAGAACAGATTTTGTAAGACAATCATCAACACTTCTACCCCTTGACAGTTTAGTGGCCAAAAAAGTGGTTTTTTTTCCCAAAAGAAACGTCAATTGTGCGACAAAAAAAAGGCATAATCAATTTTCCTAGTCACAAATTTCTAGTTCTATTAAGAATAAATCTACCCAGACGAGTCGATTTCTGACCAGGAAACAAGATCAATAGACAAGCAGTCGATAGGAAATATTTTACTCACAAGTACAGAGGACCGGATGGGCGAAGGTGTGGTAGGAGGGTGAAAGAATTGTGCAAGGTTTTAATTTGACATGGGTATTTTAGTAATTTACCAATCTTGTCACATCTCTTGATTTTTGTTCCCTTACTTTGGTATGTCCTAGTCTAATTGTCGTACCAAACGAGGGACAAACAAGTTTTTGTTCTCTCATGTCCCATCCGGTATATCAAACGCACCCGTTCAAACGACACAAGTACATAAGAAGAACGAACTACCTGAATAACACTATGAGCAGCAAACCTCGATCTACTGTTGTGAAAACTGACGTCTACTTTTTCCCACGATACACGAGAAAGACCAGTCACCAGTTCCTCTGCACATGCAAAAAAATCTAAGATATCCAAATACTTGTGACTTATGCTTTGTTCTGTAAATAGCAAGCCAGCTTAAGTACACATATAGGGATTGGTTGCAGAATAGTTCAACACATGTTAGTACTAAAAAAGTGATGCCCAGCTGAAGCCCGACTGCTTCAGGGACAATATATTTTTAGCAAATTGTAAGCCCTTCAAGAGAGAGGGTGAATAAGATTTTAACCCCTCAGTCCCAAAAGAGGTGTCCTCCTTTGACTTGTGAAGTTAGATGACTAGCTTCATTTGAAAGTTGATGAGTACATTTGATCTTTGAGGAAAAAGTAAGCCCTTCAAGAGAGAGGGTGAATAACAATTTAACCCCTCGGTCCCAGAAGAGGTGTCCTCCTTTGACTTGTGAAGTTAGATGACTAGCTTCAATTGGAAGTTGATGAGTACATTTGATCTTTGAGGAAAAAGTTGAGAATATTGTAATGAGGATATAAAGCAATTTATATTGAATTACTAGGTCAGGCATTCAATAAAGAGACATATATTTGGGGTGGAGAGGTAATAAACAAGAAAAAAGGAGGGAGGTATATGCGTGTTGCAGCTGTTACTTCCATAACAATATAGCTTTTAAGAGAGCTTGTATGAGATTCCTAACTATTAACAAGTCTATCTAGTTTCCATACTTGGTCCCAAGAACCAAGATGATGCAGAAATTAAACTCTTATTGGACAAAGTGAAAAGAAATAAAACTGCTAAATATGTAGGTGGTCTTTGCCAAGAACTCAAATCTGATCTTGCATCATAAGCAGCACAAAACAAACCTTAATTTAGGACAACTGGAAATCTTTGGGAACATCAGTGATGAGAATAACAAACCTTCTACATCTTTTGTATCATTACTGCTTGTCAAATCCTGATCAAAATCGCATGCCTTGCAGCGTTCTTCATACACGACATGAGGATACTTCTCATTTACGGAGTCCTCCCACTGCAATCACAAATATGTTTGAAACATGAACCTATTGCAAATGATAATAGCACTGTCTGAAAAGCTAATGATGTACCTTGGGCAGTTCTGTGTTGCGCCTGATTGATGAAGTTCTCCATCCGACGATATCTAATTGTGTTAAGGCAAACCAAGGCAATTTTATATATCACTAAGGGCATACTATATTTTAAGCCACGCAAAAAGGGTGCAAAGGATACGGTCATAGCCTACATTTGAGTATGTCACCCGGCGATGAAATGACCTTAATGCTGACCTGCAGTTTGCAAATGGCAAAGTCACATGTAGCAGATATCAAGAACAAAGAAAGAACAATCTAACTGTCAATTTAAATGGAAATCAGCTATGCCAAACATACATGAAATAACAATCACCATCATCTTCCAACATGCGTTTAAGTAGTGGAGGCTTCCCTTCGTCATTATCTGTAAGGAAAAGGTGCCGGCCTGTTCTTCTAAATATCCAATGTATAACAAGAACAGCAGCTTTTTCGAGGGCAGATACACCAAAAAGAAAAGGCACCTTACAAATTATAAAAGAAACATAAGGGAATTTAAATCAATGGACAAGATAATGGAGTTGGTATAGCCTTAAAAAAGGACATTCCAATGAACATCAAGAGCTCATGAAATAATTTGCAGAGCAATATGTGCAAATGTTACTAAGCAAGGATAAACTTATAGATGTGGGAAGAAGATCAAAATTTCCAAGTCTTGCTTAGAGCATCCTAATAGAAAACCAGAAAGAAGACCGATATGAAGGATATGCAATTAAGAGTTTGATGTTAACATTAAACAGATTACTTTAGAACAGTTTACATCCTTACCCATGTAAACTCATACAACCAAAGGCTTGTCAATTCAATACCAATGTGGGTGATTGACTCATTTCATACTAGAAAGTAATCACAAGAAATCCTTTGAAACATCAAGGGACTAGGAAAAGAAAAGAAAATAAGGGAAGAATATGGTATCATTATCATTCACCGTCAGCCGAAAACCAAGAAAATTATCTCTACCATGGAACTGATTTCTCTTTTTTATTAAATAGACGTGGATTCCCGATTCTACTACTTCCGTCTAGGTCACATCCTAAAGAAGAAGAGCGAGAGAACCAAAAGTACCTGCTTATTTCCCCTTGAACCAAGATGAGGTGTTGCAACAGCAATAAAGTTCATTGGAATCAAACCACCTATGGTGGCCTTTCCTTCCTCGCAGTTTTCAACCGACAAATCCTCTGTATTTTCCTTTGGAGGCCTATACAATCTCCCAATAGCATATCTTGCCACTAAGCCTCCCACAGAATGTGCAACAAAAGAAATCTTATGAAGATTTGGCTTTTGCTTAATCACTTCAAGGACCTGAAATTATCATTGAATCAAGCTAAGGTACATGGTTAATGCCTAATGGATAATATTTGAAAGAGAAACCACAACAAAGAGAAGCATAAATATATGAAAATTGAGAAACAAACCTCCTGAGATAATCGCTCGCCCATTACATCTACACCATCCAATGTCTGAGATGCCGCATTTCTTTCACTGCCTACATTACACAAGCAACATATAGAAAAAATGCAGGTCACAATCCAACTTAACTATAACTTATTGAAATATAAACCTGAGTTATATCCTATAAACATGCACACAGGCTTTCAGAAGATGATTAACACATGTACTAAGCCAGAAAGACCACACAGAGCAATGGAGCATAATAACATAAAGACACTAACACTTCACAGAAAACCAGAAAATGGTTGATAGTAGCAGTAGAGTGTACTCAAAAGGAGTAACGTTATAGAACATGTGCAGAATACAACATTGAAGTCATGATAAAAACTTGGTCATCACGTGATATGAAAATAATATGTCAAGATGATCCTTACGATGAACAAATACTCTGTCTGGCAGTGACTTAACAAACTGCTCTGCAGCAAATTTCCAATCCGCAGAACTGTAACACGGTAAAGAATTTGACTTTAGAAATTAAGAATATCGTACCAAAATAGTAATTTGGGGATGTACAAAGATATCAAGACACCATAAGAATATTAAGATATTATATGTTCCATGATAGTGAATTAAAACGGGATCAGAACTAGTATTGTATTTAATAGAAGTTTCAAATATCTTTGCAAACTCAATTAACCGACAAGCAACTTGATAAAACCCTAGATTTTCCAACTCAGAACCCGAAAACTAGAAATCACACACTAGCCAATTGCCAAGGAAACAAACGTAATTTCAACATTTACAGAAAAACTTTCTCCAAATATACTCTAAAAACAGAAAAATTCACCGATCTAAGAAACTAGAGTTCACAATAACACCAATAACATTTGATCTTAATTGATGTCCATCGCATAATAATTAACTGAAGTGTCTAACCTTCCGAGTATTCCATTGACCATGACTACGAGATGATCGGCGGATGAAACATCGGCTTCATCACAACTGAATATATTTTCGCCGCCGGGCGCCGCCTCAGATGAAATATCACCGTGTTTCATCCTCTACGTATGCGATGTCGGCTATTACAAAATGCTCAACGATTAAACCTTGAATTTCGGAAATTTTCTATGAAATTGATTCGATCTTCGCAGATAAACAAAAATTAAAGAGGATAACGAAGAGAATGATCATAGAAACAATGGGAAACCGTAGAAGTAAGGAAGGATGATGAAGAAGAAGTGTTGATGATGCAAACCACTCAATGGGGGCGGTTGTATTTTATTTATAGAAATAAATCTTCTGCGGTTCTGCACTTCTGCCTATCTATTTTGACAAAAACCAATATTTATAAAAAAACAAATTGAAATATTAAAATAAAAATAAACTACAAATTTGGTCCCTCTAGTTTGTCGAAAATAATATTTTCATCCCTGCAGTTTTAAACATCACCGTAGTAAATAGGAGAGAAAATAGAATTTCTTTCTTCGTCTTTACAAAAAAAAGGAGGAAGCTGTGACATGTTTACTAAAAAAATCCTTAGGCTATTCTTTATCACGGCTCTTCTGAGGCTTTCCAACCAACCCTGTTGACTCGGAGTATTCAACCCCCCATTCGCCTAGCCATCAGATTCCTCCGCTGCCATCTTCGCTTTTGGCTCCTTGTCATTTGATCCGGGGGAATCAACCTCGAAGAAGGAAGCCTAGGAGCGTAGTTTGGCCTGTGTTCCAAATTCAATGCGAGTGTAGGTTACTCTTATAATGTTGGGTCTTAGAGCCAGTAGAGTGCAGTACAAACGAATGGAGTGGAATCTACCATTGAAGAAATCTATTTGCTTAACCCAGAGAGGAATTCCTAATTCTTACAYGGATGAGACTGCCTGAAATTCTAACACACGTCCTTTTCGAGTGAGTATTACACTAAGAATTGACAAGCCTTTAGTTGTACGAGTTGTACGTTTTCTATTTCTTACGTGACTTTGATGAAAGAAAGCATTCCGGGAACATAAAATAAGAGTGAGCAGACTTGCGACGTGCTTGCGCCATCGCGGACGTCCGGGTATGGATTACTGGAGCGAAGGGATTGGCGCGAACCAGAGTGTGCTTCGAGACCATCTTTATCTCAGGAAAAACAACGAACAGGGGACGACCTCGTTCCCGAGTCTCATCAATCTCAATGTCTATGGGTCCACAGCCCGAAAAGTGGTTTTTATGATCCGATCATGAATCAAACTTATTTAAACGTTCCCGCTATTCTCTATTTCCTTAAAAAATATAAGATGACTATTGTGGTTTGAAAAAATATCTGATTAAAATCAATTATGTGACTTTGGTCCGTCTGGTTTTTGATTGAGTAGAAAAGACAAAAATAGATAAAAGAGCGAAAATTTTCTTCGTTTAACAAAGTTTTTAAACGATCGTTAAAGAAAGGGACCAGTTCTAAACTGTAAAAACGAAAAGTATTATTTTGACATACCACAAGGACCAAATTTGTAGTTTACTCTTGAGATAATGGTAAATTATTTTGTAGTCATTAAATTAATGTTTCAATAAATAAATGGTTAAATCTATACAATCTTTATATAAAAAGTGCTTTTTTTTGTTATTGAAAATAATTTCGAGTTTTATATAACAGTTAAAAATGTCTTTTGTATGTAGTTCAGTTGATAAAAAACATGACAATTTTGTGTAGATACAAGACAAGTCTCGGTTTAATTTTGAACCCCTTGTTAGCCACAGTTGTTAAATGAACCCAAATATTTAAGTATGTAATATTTATATATATATTTGTTCACTTTCGATGAAATTTAAATTATTAATCTTTTAAAATATAAGATGTTATCTATATTATATTATAAGTATTTGACAAAAACTCTTAAAAATTATTTTGTATACATAAAATACTGTTTATTGATATATATTACTTAAAATTCAAGATTACAAGTAAATTGTGCATAAGTACAACTTATTAAAGTTTCATGCTTGAATTCGTGTAACTAACTGCAGATAAACATAATCAAATACATGATAAACATTTCATTTTAAATATAAAAAATTTAAAATATAATTAAAATAATCATAAAGTTCTAACAAAATACTTAATTATTAACCTTATAAAAAATATATTATTAAATCAAAAATAAATTACTTCGTTATTAAATCTAAATTAAATTATTATAAAAAAATTAAATTAAGGAAATTACATAAAAAAACAAGAACTTTTAAATAGTTAATTTGATACTAATGTTGATATATATTTTTTTTAAATTTTATGATATCTTCTAATTTATTTATTTAAAAATAAAAACATTATCTTTTTCTCAAAACCACATAAACACCATATTAAAACATATGTAGAGACGGAATAAAACGAAATATTAAAATTGAGATATATTTCACTGCATTGTACGAATACCCTTCCTAATTGATAATAATACAATTTAGTCGATGACTGACTGATAAAGTTAAAAATATCTACGAATAATAGTCGGTCTCGTGTGTATTTTATAGTGATTGTGACTAGAAATGTTATTAAAAATAAATTAAGAAAATTGTCAGAAAAAAAAAAAAACAAATATTAATTATCAAACGTGAAAGTTGAATTTTTCTGTTTAAGTCAGAGCCGTTAACACATCTCCGTCATATTTGACGGGTTATCACATTGTCGACACGCGTATGTCGGCCAAATAAACAAATGGTCCCGAAAGTTGCTATAACTTTCACTTTTGGCCTTCTAAAAAAGCTTTTGTTCAATTTCCGTCCATCGTTGAACTACTTTAGACCTATTTGTAGGGTTGTAAACGAATCGAACGAACATGAACACATGCTTGTTTATGTTTGTTCGTTTAACTTAACCGAACAAACACGAACGGTAAACGAACGAAAATCTTTGTGTTCATGTTCGTTCGTTTAGAAATTAGGTGTGTTCGTGTTCGTTTATGTTCGTTCGTTAACATGCTAAACGAACGAGCTAACCGAACATAAACGAACATAAATAAATATTATTTGAATTCAAAGTAACAAATAAAAAATTATATATTAAATTTAATATATAAACGAACATAAACGAACGAATAGAAAGGAACGTAACGGTAAATGAATGAACGTTTACGAACATAAATGAACGAACGAGACTCTTTTTCATGTTCGTTCGTTTAACTAAACGAACAAAAAAAATTCAAGTTCGTTCATTTATTAAATAAACGAACTTTCTGTCGAACGGTTCGTTTACAGCCCTACCTATTTGGTGGGGGTATGCAGATTGTCATCCTATTTAAACCGACTAACCATGATCAAATATCTAATTATAATTGGATTGGATCGGACGGTTCTTAAATAGCAGTCTAGAATCCAATAAAACCATACTGATTCAACCCAATAATCATTCAACTACCATCCAATTAATAACTTTACAATATTATTAACATCTTCGTATTGTTTTTTAGTTGATCTTTATATGTCCATTTTTTTTATAAACCAAGAAAATATACTAATAATTGGTTTAAATGGTAGATTAATTGATTGAAAATCAGATCAAAATATTAGATGGAACCAATCTGATCCAATCGATAACCAATACTAATATCTAATGGATGGAAGCAGTCTGATCCAATCATTCATTGGATTGGATTTGATTGGAATCAAAGACAAAATCCAACATCAAATCTATTGAATTTCAACCGATGAACAATCATGGTATTTATCTCATACTATTAGGACTGAAAATCAGTGTTAAATTGTATTCGTCTTGAAAGTTACTATTGTTTATAATTAAAATAGACATCGTGTTTGACTTTTCTAGTATATTTGACTTTGACTAGTGGCTTTCATGTTTGACCCTATATAAAGGGTTTGTCCTTTGTAATTTTTAGAGAGCCTAATTGTAAAATTCAATTTACGTAATAAAGCATTGACCACAGTTTGACTTTCTCTCTCATCTATCTCCTCTCAAAATGTTCTTAAAGTTCATATAAAATCTGACATGGATTGTTAGAGTTTTGCTTGAAGATTGATCAATATTAGACTCTCACATATGTCAATAAAAAAATTAAACCTACCTTTATAAATAAAAAAAATGGCATATATTCAATGTCCAATCTTAGTGATAAGATGTTTTTGGAACAAGTGAGCCAAGCGACTCCGAAATCGCTTGAGGATTATATTTGTCTCGAAGATTACTTGATTATTTACAATCGGATACAAGATACATAATCTTTGAAAGTTGAACTTCCCTAATCAATAATGATATAGTGATAAAAGAGATAACCAATATTCTTTAAGTAAAATCAAAAGTTCATGTACAAACAATTGCATTAAATCCTTCCTTCTACAACCCGCACCGCCACTTGCTCTGTATCGTTTCTTTGCCAAAACTGAAAACTATGGTGGTGTTTTAGATGAAATAGAATCTTTAAAAAAATTGACTTTGAAGGAATTTGAACGAAAGGTTGTCAGGTTTGACCATATGTTTGATTAGCAGACATCAGAATGAAATTTGTTTAGGATTTAGAATCTTTCTGTTTGGTTCAAAGAATGTAGCTTTGGAAATTGAATCAAATATAGGTAAATGACTAAAATGCCCTTCTTAAAAATTTTAATTTTTCAAAACTAAAAATACTTTAATAAAATGGTTATTTAATATGTAAAACAATATAAAATACACAACTCAAATATAATCATAAGCCAAATGACGTTACTAAATCAACGATGGTTGGTGGTGATCCATGGTGGTTCAGATCTGTGGTGGGTGGTTCAGATCGATAGTGGTCCGCGGTGGTTCAGATAGAGGTGGTCAGCGGTGGTTCAGATCAGCGGTGGCGGTTCAGATCGGTGGCGATTCAGATCGGTGGTTGTTCAAATCGTTGGTGGTCGATGGTGTCTGGTGATGATTCAGATCGGTGGTAGTCGTCGATAGTCGGCAGTGGTTCAGATCGATTGTGGTCCATGGTGTTTTAGGTGGCCATGGTCGGATGTGGTTCAGATCGGCAGTGGTCCATGGTGTTTTAGGTGGCCATGGTCGGATGTGGTTTAGATCGGCGATGGTTCAGATCGACGATAAATCAGATTGGTTGTTGTTCATGTCGGTGATGGTCGACGATGGTTCAGATCGGTGGTGGCCGGCAGTGATTCGGATTGGTAGTTGTTGGCGGTAGTTTAGATTGATGGTGGTCTGTGGTGGTTCAAATGGCGATGGTCGACAGTGGTTTCAGATTGGTGGGTCCATGGTGGTTTAGATGGCGATGATTGGCGGTGTTTTCAGATCGACGATGGTTTAGATCAATGGTGGATCAGATTTGCAGTGATTCAGATGGACGATGGTTCAGATTGGTAGTGGTACAGATCAGCAGTGGTTCAGGTTGGCGGTGGTTTAGATCAGTGGTAATTGGCAGTGGTAGTCGGCGGTGGTTCAGATCAGGAACATATTTGGTATTATAAAAATAGAGAATTTCATTTTATCAAAATATCATGTAGTTGTTAAGAAATGTTAAATTCTTTCATTTGTGGAATTTATAAGATTTTGAAGATTCCTTTCGTGAAAAAGAATGAAACAAATGAGGGAATAGAATTTTGTCAAATAAATTCAACATTCCAATTTCATCAGATTCCTTTAGAATCTGCGAACCAAACATCCTCTAAATCTTTATAAATATATTTTATATACAGCAAAACTCACCCGTACAGTTCCTTATCTTTTCGTGAAATTTAAACCCTTGACGTTTATAAAGGTTAGACTCTATCGGCAGGGCTGGTTCTGGGATGGTTTTTTCATGCCCCGACAAAAAGACAAGATGTCTCACTTTATATGAAAACAAATGAAACAAACTATTTTTTAGGAATTTGGAATCTAATCAAATTAGGTGGCTTTGTCATCACGTTAACTTTTGTTACCGTTCTTGATTGATAATGTGTTTTTGATTTCATAATGCATATCTTATAAGTAATAATATGATAAGCACCATATACAACATCAAACTAAGTTGAACTTTTAGAGACACGCAAACAGTGGTTGTTCCCTTCAAACGAACCCTATATGGTGTTCAATTTGTCTCAAACCTTGAGAAAACTAAACAACAATCATCAAGAGTCATATCGTGGCATAGAGGATCACAGAGAATTGAAACTAGGTAGTAAGCTGATTTTTTTCATACAGGGTTTGACTTCAGAAAATAACACATAACATGTTTGTGGTTTTGAGTTTAAACTAGCTGTTTATCTGAATTATTATTCAAAAACATGTTTGACGAAGTCATATACAGAGCATAAATAATAAACTTTCCACAAAATATTAATTGCTGAATGTGATTAATTTTATTCAGTTTTTATTTTATTTGAAATAAATACGTATTGGCATGAAAACGAGACAAAAGGCAACTAGTTTTAAGATAATCAAAATATAAGAAGAAGAAAAATAAAGTCATAAAATTAAAACGCGACAAAATATAATCTAAAGGATTAATAGCCAAGTGACAGAGGTGTTTTAGCCTGTTTGTAGCTTTGGATTCAAATAAACTGTCGATAACCCAGGTATCGAAAAACCGAATACTTCACAAAGAAAAAGAACCTCACCACACTCTCTAACCGCTTTCTTTTAGTTCCCCAACATATTTTTCTTGGTGAAAAATCAATATTATCAAGTAATATATGAATCGGCAAGGGGAAAAGAGGTTAAATTAGGGTCATGGATGAAATCCATGATGAAATGCAACCCGCGATGATCATATATAAAAAGAGAACGGATTATGAGGACCATCAGATATCAGTTAATGGGATCGATCTAATCAATTAATATGTGTCTTTCTAGAGACGAGATCTGTTAAAGAATGACCAGTTTAGGGCATTGTATGGTTTAATCAATACCAATTATAACAGAAATTTACATCTGCACCGTTGTATTTTAATCTTATTTCAGAGAAAACTCAAAAATTAGATTGAATCATTGAATAAAACCGTTGTAACATGTTAGAATGGACAAAGCTTTTCAGCTGAGATTACAAGTTCATTCTGACTTCATTTCCTATTATATCTGTTTTGGAATGTGGATTAAGACAAGGCTGAATGAAACCCAAGATTCTAATTTACATGAAATTGTGCAAGTGCAGTTATTTAGAAGAATGGATGAAACTAGCAACCACAACACGAAGTTAGAAAATGATAACTTTCTATATAACTCATATAAATAAGATTAATATCGAGAATAACTCATATATTATGCAAACAAATCTTAATGCGTGATTTATATTTATCAAAGAGCTAGAAAACATTATGAGCTCTTCTAAAACAAAATTGTTTGTTAGTTTATAGTAAGTTTGATTTTTGAGAGTTCAACTATAGTTTTATCCTAGCATATAAATCAAAAAAGCTCCAGACAACAATAGACAAGACATTTTTTTTATTAACCTGGATATCCAACCGCTATGCGAGCCGACTAATCTCAGGGCGACCACCTGCTTTGCAGATAGTCAGGAGTCACCGCATTTGAACATCCGTGGCCACAAGGGGATTTTTATTTCTCCTTGGATTTGAACCTGGGACCTCCTGGTACTTTTGACCTTCGGAGCCAAGCTCAAACCAATCAAGCACCACCCTTGTAAGATGAATCAGTTGGATAATTATAATAACTCTCTAAATGAACCAACTAAGATTTCACATGACATGGCATGGAACATAGAGGCCTTGTTTGTTTAAAAAAAAAGCTCTTATCAACCTCGTATGCCTGATTCATTAAGAGATAAAATCATTCAGACTGCTTGTTTTTTCCAATTTTTCAGAGGCATTTATGTCTTATTGTCCTTTTATCTGGTAAGAGATAAATCAACCTCTTATTTGCCTTTTATTGTTCTCCAAACCCTCAGCCAGCATCGGATTTCTCAATCGATTAACCTTAATCGATCATTGCTTCTCAATCGATTAACCTTAACCGATCATTTCTTTCAATGGATTCATACCAAAAACGATCCTCCCCTCATTCAATTGATGTATTTTAATATGATTTAAATGTGTTAGATACTATTAATGGCATATTTTCGTTTAAACGAATGTTAATTATATAATTTAGATGTAAATTTCATAATAATAATGAATAAATACGTGAAATTGTATAAACTTGTCTATAAATTCAGCACTATAATTTTCTAATGGGTAAAATAGAATTTAAACAAATTCAGACATTTATCAGTTTATAAAAACAAATAGTCTTATTGATTCAGATTTCAGACTTCATCACCACCTCTTATTAGTCAGAAGTGAAATAAGACTTCAGACTTCAACAACTCTTAAAAAACAAACGTTACCAGTCTCATTCCAAGATTTCTCAAATGAAAATATGGTTGCAAAAGATAGCTTACTCCATACGAACCTTTTGAGCATTATCTTCATGAACTTCTTACGGATGATTTTATTTTCCAGCTTCTTCAAACACAACTCCGAATTTTATTTTGTAAGAAACAAACCACCAATGCCTAGGTTAGTCTTTAAAATCTACGAACAACAATTTTACGACATTGAAAGTTTCGCTATCCAGCAATTCCAGTTCACCAGTCGAACATATTAATTAACCTTGATTTTATACATCACAGAACCATAAAATTAGCATCGAGAGTGGCCAAAAATAGAAGAAAACATGAAACATGATAGTCATTTCGAGTTCTCAGCTTCATAATCGATATGCTTCGACCAATGCTACTCGAAGAATTGTTCTTCGAATGATAGGTGTGCAGTAACGCTACATAAGTAGTTCATTTTAAATGTCTGTAATCATCGAAAAATGTCAAAACCTTCGTAAAATCATTTAAAACTCCCAATTAACATGTCCCAAGAGTTTTTAGTTCAACATATAAACCATCCTAAATCATGCCATAGCACATAAAATTCTTCCATCTTTTTTTGATTAACTTGGATATCCAACCCGCTATGCGAGCCGACTAATCCCAGGACGACCACCTGCTTTGCAGATAGCCCGGAGTCAGCATATTTGAACCTCCGTGGCCACAAGGGGATTTTTATTCCTCCTTAGATTTGAACATGGGACATCCTGATACTTTTGACCTTTGGAGTCAAGCTCAAACCAATCAGGCACCACCCTTGTGGTTAAATTCTTCCATTTTTACCATTAAGATCATCAGCCCAACGGCACACGGATTACATGTAGATCCTAACATCCCTAAAGGTTTAAGCGCTCAAGCCTTTGTAAATTTTGTTGTATATAAATATGACATACTTAAAACAATTGTGTTTTAAAGATTAAAACCATCTCAAAATGATTAAACATGAATGTAACATCAAACATGTCACAATGCACAAGATTCTTGAGGGCAATAGAGACGTTGGATGTCAACATCTATAGGAGCATTACATTAATATTACATATACAAAACTAAGGGGTTGTTCACCTGCCTATAGCCGGGTAAGTAGCGTGTACCGGGTAATAGATAATGCCGTTTACCAACATCTTCTGACCAACAAATGTTGCTGACCCACTAAGAGCGTAAAGGCTTACTTACCCGGTCAGAGCATCTTACTCGATCAGTGATTATCCATAAAAAAATTTAGTAAATGGCTCTAACCTCTTAGAAAATTGCATCAATCATCCGAACTGTAATCGCTGTTAGAGTCGGGAAGCAAAGGGACAGCAGCACAACAAAACAACTCCTTATCTTTGAGAAGAAGACAACTACCATTGAAATCCCACTTTAGATCCATTACCGAGAACTGCGGTAGCGGAACGTTCACGCAGTAAGCACCCGATGGGGTCCACATGTACAAGTGGGACGTCCCGGTGCACAAAACTAGTCGAGTGCATGTTGGGTCCCAGGCTGCGGTTCGAATAGGGTCTTTCTGTACCAAAATGGCAGCAAGTTCAAGATGATTCATGTCCCATATCCATAAAACCGTCGGCATGCTGTCGTTGCGAGTGCAGATGTATTGGCTGTCTTTGCTCCATGACATGATTCCTGCAATTCGGTTGGATTGAAGTTATATTTAGCTGACTAACCTTCCCAAAAACTGAATTTTGAAAATCTAATCTTCTAGTGTATTTCTAAGTTTTTATTGGAGCATATTGTTTAGAACAAGAGGCAGATCAGATGAAGGTCATTGAGCTAAAAAATGATTTAGAAGGTCATGTTCCTAACTGAAAACTCATTAAAGTTATTTATCCAAATGACCCATTTATAAAGCAGGTTGAAAGCTCTGCTAAATAATTTTGGTCTATTTTGTTAAATGACCACCTATGGAAGTAACTTTTACAAACTAACATTCTAGTGTTTTTTCAAGATTTTCGGAGGGCAGTTTGTTTACCGCTAGAGGCAGGGTGCTTTACCACCAGAGGGATGCCATTTGAAGGTTATTGAGTTAAAAACAAACTTTAAAAGTTAGTATCCTAATTGAAAACTCATTTAAGGTTATTTAGTTAAACGAAATACATGTTTTCAAAGTGCTTTTGACCGGACTCATAATTTTATTAAAGTGTGTCGACTACTATTGTCAAAAGTCTGTAATTCTTCCTATAAAGACAAAAAGAAATTCAACCACAACCAATAGCACCAAGAAGTTGCAACAACAACTATGGACAAATAGGTACTTCTAGCTTAAAAGGTTGTTATAATAGGAAATGCTGAAATTTTCGTAGGACATTCTAAAATGGTAAATGTTGAATCCTATGGGCTGTGGGCATTCCACCTAAATCCTGTTTGGTTGTTTCCTCGACTGCATTGACCTCTAGAAATTTTTATACTCCCTCCGTCTCAAATAAGTGTCCACTTTCTGATAGGGCATACTTTCTAAGTATACCCTCAATTATGAGATGAAGAAATTCATACTCAGGATAAAATTGTCATTTAGTTAATTAAAAAGTGTAATAATTATACATTTCCAAACTGTGTGCTTTTTTCTTTCATTGTGGACGTTTATATTGGGACTAAGGGAGGATCTGTCAGATGCTTTTACAATTTATTTAGATGAGCAAAGGCGACCAAACAAGAGAAACTCAAGCTTACCAATTCCTTGCTTAGGATTTGGTTTGTCGGCAGGGGGCTTTTGGAAAGGTAAGGTGATGGGGAGTTCCATAACATCATATCTAACATCAATTAGTCCTTGTGGACCATATTCTGCAAAAATAAAACGTAAAGAACAAAAACACTGGAATCTTTATGGAAGAAGAAATCAATGCAAGCCAAGTATTGTGGAACACACATAAAAAGAAATGACGTCCAAAAAAATCAAGCAAACCCACATGCTAAATTTTTGGCATAATTAGCAGAATGTGGGGTGGGGTAACTATGTAGCAAAACTTAAACTTCTAAGCTTTTACAGCCACATGTTAGGAGCATGCGCTGAGGCACGCTAAGAACCGATGGTAATAGAAAGCCAATAAAATAAATTAACCAATACAACCACTGAGAACAGCCTTTTTGAGATTAGTGGCACATGTCAGCTTGAATCGGTACAACAAGCCTAGACGCAGATATCCACAAAGGCTGAAAAAACTTCCATTTTAGGTTTTCTGCTTTGTTCTTATCCTCAAAAACTTAGGAAATCGATAAAATAAGCTTCAAGTTCCTTCCAAAAGGCATGTTTGTTAGTTCTAGGTGTAAAAAAATATCTTCACATATTAATGGAAGTCATTGATGGGATAAGAACAGAAAAGCAACTCTACTCTTTTGGGGTTAGAGGTCAAGTCTGCGTACATCTTACCCTCCTCAGACCCCACCTCCGGAAGGGATATATTGGGTTCGTTTGGTTTGGTTTGTTTTATTGATGGGATAAGAACATCACAGACAATCAGTGCTATTAATCATGCAGAAAGCATCGAGTACAGTCATACTTCTACTAAATATACTTCTACTAAATGGTCATGGATGCAATAGGCATAAGAGTTAGGACATCAATAATGTGTGAGAGAGGAAAAGAGGGAGGGGGATGGATAAGTACTAGTGTTTACCAGAATTATGTTGTGTAAAATCATCTGTTAAAGACAAGTCAGACATATCTAGTTGTAACGGCTCATCAACCTCCTGAAATATGAAAATCAAAGACTGATATAATTATAGACATTATAATATAGGCATAATGTAATTTTTCGTTAAAGATAAGCATAATGTATTACTCCCCCCATCTCCCAAAAAATTGCAACACCTTCTATTTTGGGTTTGTCCAAAGAATGAAAAAAATTTCTTTCTCGGGAAGATTCCAATCCATATATACCTATTTAACCATAACAATCATTATAAAATATTGGTAAAAATAATTGTGGTTCACAACTTCTCTCGTTCTCTTGCCAGAGGTACCGTCCTCTTTCCCCAAACTTCTCTCATTGCCGTGTTATTAAGGGTTATATATGTATTTGATCTTTAATCAAAGAGATTTATGAAACTATGTGCCACGTCAATTTTAGGGATGGAGGGAGTATGATGCTGTTTAGTTTTGGCAAATCTTGAAATACAGGAAGTTAGTTACCTTGAAAACAGCAGCAGAACAAGGAGCCCTTACAGTAGATAGATGCATAAATTCTGCAAATACTTTCCAGGTTAAGTGATTTAGAACTCTTAACATCTGGTCATAACTACCAACAGCTAAAGACTGGCCATTAGGGGACCAAGAAACACTTTTTACACCCAATCCACTTTCATATGCTTGATATTTCGATAGACACCGTCCATCTAAGGAGTATATCAGAACCTACATGAACAATAAGGCAAGTAAGTGTAGCCAAAAACACCACCATAAGTTTATAAGGACAACGTAGGGTCATATAACAGTAATAAAAATAAATAAAGATGGGTGACAGCTGTAGCAAACAAGGTCCAGATCACACAAGATGATGAGTTTTAGAAGGCAGGTCAATTAGGGTTAGCTTTGACTCTGCTATTTTGGTCCCTTATTAAGTATCAAAGTATTACAAAAGCATCTTCAGAAAGATCAAATGACCTGGTAARTACAGGTTTGTTGTTTTAATAACCATAATTACAACACCACGATCTTCTCTTATATGAGAAGGCCAGTAGTAATAGACCTTGACAAAACTTGGAATAACACCAAAGTATCCTCTCATAAACAAGCTTGGCTGAGTGGTTAGATGACTTTACTTGATATGACTAATAAGGAGACAAAACTCTGAGGTTCATAACACCCAGGTACTTTCGCCTCGTTTTGGCTTGTGATACATGAAGAAGCTGAAGATGGGCCTACCATTTTAAACGGTTGAGTCACCGATCCAGTTGGATTTGCACAAATCAGAACCAAATATCGAGCCAAATTGGGAAAGGCAAATAACTGCTTAGAAAATTTGTTTGTCAAAGGGAAAGAAGGGAAAAACGTAGGGAAGAAAACTCTCATATTATTAACAAGACAATGAATCAATGACACAACTGGTCAACAACTAAAGAAAAAGATTTGTCAGCACCAGAATAATAAACACATATGAAGAGTGGGGTCTAGGCTAGGTGAGATCCATATGCCATCCAGGTACCTACCTCTATCTCTCTTTTCCTACTGTGGTCCCTAGAACCCCTATCATCCTTAATTTAATACAGTCACTTCAAACTGGAAGCAGAAGAAGGATACATACATAAGCTTTATACTAAGATTAAGAAACATATCTTAGCCTTAAAATTTTCAAATGCAGCAATATGAAAAGATGATAATATTATAATTGCAAACCTTATATTCAAGAGGGGAATCCCATATCACAATTGCAGTATCATCTGGTGACCATTCAACATCAGCCAGATCTAATGTATCAACAGCAAAAACACCCATGATTTCCCATGTTTGACAAGATATCAGGTTTACATAGTCTTTGCAATCACGTCTGGTGCATATTGCAGCAAAACTCCCATCCTTAGTGAAAGACACCCCTTTAGAAGCATGCTTTGGCCACTGCACATGTATACATGCTGTATTTAAAAGTGACCAAACGGTTAGGCGTAACTGGAACTCTGACGTAGTGAGTATATGGCGACTGTCTGGGCTCCACCTAGCATAAGCAATCCCTGCAGGACCTTCGTCTATTTTGCATGTCCATTCAGGTTGTGCTAATGACCATGCCTGTATCATTGGCTTCTTGTAAAGTCCACATAGTATGTACTCAGAATCAAGAGCCCACTCAATATAGCTTATCTTATCCATACATGAAAATAATTGTACAACCTAGATGAATATCAGAATCATGGGTTAATATAAAAACCTTTGAAATTTATTAAATATGAATGCTGCTAAAATCTGAGATCACCAACAAAAGAGCAAGTTTTCAACCAAGACGTGATTGTGTGCAGTAGAAGAAAGAGAATGCATATCCTTATTTTCATATGAAAACAAAATATAAAGAAAGAGGGGAGAGAAATTATTTACCGGCTTATGTCCTAAGTTATTACGTGATCAAGGATACAGTTCCATCTTGATTGTAAGTGGCTTGTTATCATGGCTTATATTTAGCATATATCATGGTCTAACTCTATTTATGTTCCTATAAATTTGCGAAGGTCCTAGCTCAAAATTAAAACGATTTCAAGAGCAAGATCGACTATGTCTGCGCTTTGAAGCTATTGATCAAGCATTTTTGGCTTATTCCTTTTATTAGATTTTTCAGAGGCTAGACATTTCAACGAATCTGCTTTAATGTTTGACATCTTTTACCACTGTATAAAAATGGTGCCTTTCAGTCCGAATTAGCATTGTGTTACTTGGGGGCACATACTTAATCTCCATTGATCAGTTTTCCCATTCACTGCATGCTTCAGAAACTTATAGGCCCACCCTTCCTTTTTTACATCTTTGCTTTAATGGAACTCAAAGCTCGGGGATCTATATCCACATTAGCAACTGCATCCTGTATGTTTCCATTTTCGAAATTGACATTGTATGGCTTATTTCCACCACCAACCCGCTGTCGCCTGTCTATATTTTCATTCCAGGTAGCGCTAGGTGTTCATATCTTTGGATAGAGTTACCATGATAGTTTTCTGACTCAAACGATAGATGTCCTTGGTTAATTACAAAACAAAAAGAGATTGGGGTTCATTTCCTGTATTAGTAGGTGTATTTTACTTTATGGAAACTACATATTTATATGGAATCACATAAACACCTATGAAGCATTCCATTATAGCAAATAACAAATTTAACTTCCTGAATTCTCAAATTAAGCACTAAATTATTACAAAACATAAACACAATCTTAGTAACGATAAGGCAATCAATCATTCTAAAGATTCACCTTCCCCCCCTTCAATACTCGGTAAACTAACAAAGCTACAAAATGCTGAACATCAGGCTACTCTGGACTCTCAAGTCCAGCTTTTCTGAATACACCCTATGTTCCAAAAAAAAATGAACATATACACAGGATTTTCGGAGATCAATTTGAATTAACATGCCCCTGACCTTTTGGTAATTTATGTAACTAGGATTTGACTAGAAAGTGCAGATACAAGAGAGCTTATCCATTGAAATTCTGAAAATATTGTTCCTACATGAAGAGACCCTGTACACAGCGTAATGCATCTCCTAAATCGAAATGTAACTTGCAATTAATCAGAATACTCATCCATCGTAACAAACTTAACCAGATAAAACATAAGCATCCTCAAAAAACCATAACTAATTAACAACTCAAACAATGCCAAATCTTGCAGAATACAATAATTTCTTAATCAATTACCTTGAAAGATAAAACATCTCGAATCACAAGCCGGTAGTCCACAGCAACGGCGAGATAGCGAGCATTTGGGGAGAAACAACAGGGACCAGTCTGCTTAAAAGGTTCTGTAAATTCCATCATAGAACACCCAAAGTATCTTTACGCGAAAACCTAACAAAACATGACTTGAATATCATGAAACATACAACAAATCCATGAAAAAAATCGGCTTTGAGAGCACCAATCAGCCCAAATTTTGAATTTAATAGGATAAATCGATCATGCGACGGAGATTTGGTAAGACGAGTAGATCTAAAAGGTGAAAAAAACTTGAAAATGGGTTTCAAATTTGAACTCACTGTGGGAGGAAAAGAAAGAATGAATGAATGTTTGACTTTATACTGTCAAACTGTGGGAATGGGTAAAGCAAAAGCAAGGATTATTTGAACAAAACACAATATTTTTTTAAAATTTTACACCATAATCTTATAAAATTAATTAATTTATTTATTCCAATGCATAATAAATATTTTTGAATGTTTGAATAAATTACTTATATCAATATCAAATTGGTAATAAAAGGTTTTTGAAAAAATTAAAGCATTTTAATTTATAATAAATTAATAAGTATTTTTATAAAAAAAATATAAATTGTTTCAAATAAGCAATCTCAAATACCCCCTTAATATTTGGATACCTCCTTAATATTTGATTTTTTTACCTTCATAACATTTTACTGTGAAATTTTAAATATAAAAATATTATGTTACAACAACATATACATATTGATGTGAACACAACATGTGGGGAACCAAGTTTAAGGTTTAAATGTTTATTTTTATTTCTTTCATAAAAAATAAAAATAATATTGTGGTTTTGGTTTCTTCTGTTTCAAGTAATAATAATTTATACCTGAAACTTAATGTTACATTGATTTTGTCCTTGTGTATTCTATGTTCTTTTCCAAGTGGTTGCTGACCTGGACTTTTAATTAGTTTTTAATGAATTACATCAATTATTTACGTAGTTTTAAGAAACTCTACCAATTACAATTATCATTATAATTTAGAAATCATACTGGAAATGTCGACCTTTGAACTTGCTTGTTTGGGTTGTCCCTCCCTCCATCCAACTCTTTTTATTGTTATAAAAATCTCTTAGTCCTAAATTATCATGTTTCATTATTGTCCATCAATCACGTGAATACATATAATAAAGAGAAAATATGATTATGTATTAAATAAATTTGAAATATGTGATGTATTATTATTTGTCTTAATTTTAATTGGTGGGACAGGATTGGTACGTAAAACTTTTATTAGGGGTGTTTGTGGTCCGATTTGGATGGGTTTAACCCCCAAAACCACAAACCAAACGACAGTGGTAGTTTAAGAAATTTTCCAAACCCCAATATTTCAAATATTTAGATGTCCTGCTATGGGCTTTAAACAACAAAACTTAATATTTATCTCCAAAATGAAATTTCTACGAATTTAACATTATTAAAAAATATTATACGAGTTATAAAAAACATTTATCTCCAAAACCTAAAAAAATTTGAGCAAGTTGAAAAAAAGTAAAGCAAGATCAGCAACAATATTTGAAATTTTGGATAATAATTGAGCAAGTCGATGGACGGTTTAGAATTTTGGATATTGGTTTTGATGGATGTCATAAATTTTCCGATTTCTGAACATGGATGATTGATAGGTGAAAACTAAAAAGTTAATGTCTTTGACGATTTTTTTAAATGGAACGAAAAAGGTTGAATCTACATCATGAAAACTAAATATAATTAGTGCATGTGTTTTTTAGTGGTTCAAACCGCTCAAAAAAAATGTTCAAACCATGGATCTTACTGGACCAAGCGGTTCGTCTATTTTTTAGACCAGACCGGAAGGCTAGACCTCTCAAACCGCTAAGAATGGTTCAATTTGACTTGTTCGACCAATTTAAGTGGTACAACAATTGTTTTTTTACACCCCTGATCTTTATCCCCTTTTGGTTGCCCATTTGTCGTGCATGGGAGGTAAAAAGGTCCTTTCAGTTTGTTGCCCGTTTTTTCACATCATCTAGTACTTTCCTTAAACTACGACAATCAAACCTTATTTTGCACAAATTGCTCCTTCCTCTTCTGAACTTAAGGTGTACATATTATGTATGCATGATCTTGGGCAAAATCATTCGAGGGATAGCACACACAATGTGGATATTCATACTTTAAATGGACTTATTGATTTTGACGATCTATGTGGTATGTGTTTATAGGTTTTATGATGTTGATCATCTATTTGTTAGTGATAATTGTATGTCTTGATTTTTTTCCTAGTCTAAAGTAATATTTCCCACAGTGATGGGCTTCGAAGTTTTTCATGGTGAGGGTATTCACAATGTGATTTTGGAATATAGGTGGCAAGTACCATGTTAGTGATCCAAAGGAAGATCAATATGTTGTTGAGATGAAGCATAGTTATGTTCATGTAGAAGGTGGACTTGATAAGGCTACCTTGTAAGCATGTTGTAGCTGCCATTTGGTACATCGTACATGATGGATATCAAGTGGGTGTACCAAAAAGTTGGGATTGTCCTTGTTATGAGCTTTATACATGAAATGTAATGTGCAGTTACAAGAGTAAACCCCTTATCAAGAGAAAGATGTGGCCTAGGTGTTCACGTATTTGATAAACATGTCCCACCAGTTCATTATGTCCAAGTTGGAAAGCGAAATAAGAAGATGAATAAGATAATTTGATGAGGTGATCGTACCTATTGAGCAATGTGAGAGGCTACTAAAGATTGAAAAAATGTGTCACTTATGCTAAATGCAATAATACAAGACAAAACAATAATACTTGCGAGGGACAAAGAGGTGGGAGGCAAAGGTGAAACATGGGTACTTGTTTATGAACATGTTGGTTCTTTTGATTTGATGATGTTTTTGTGGGCATATACTGGTTTGATGGTTTAGAAACTTGGACATTCTTGTTGGGATTCTTTTGAATTGCTTTTGTGAACCATTTGTTTGTTAATGTTGGATGTTTAAGTTTGGAACAATTTGTACTTTATTAGATGTGATAAGCAATTTATGTGTTAATATTGGGTCAGTTTGTGTTGCAGACAAACTATGTCTTGATGAAGGAACATTTTGTATGTTAAAGTTGAATTTAGTTTATTTGTGTTGGATCATTGTATGTAGTGTCCGTTTGACCAAAAAAGGCGGCTCTGCCACTAAGCAAGCCGATAGAGAGGGCACCAAGTGCCTAATATAAGACAAATGTGTTGTGTTGGTTGTTTTATTAGTTTGGATCTTTGTATGTTGGATCAATTATGTTGAACATTCATTTGCTTACATGCATTGACTTTAAAGATTTGTTTTTATTTGTTTTCTTATTCAGTAACATGGTTCCTCACTTATCAACAGTGCTCCATTGTAATAGGACGTACACAAAAATGTTGCAGTTGTTCCATAGACATAGGCGTCAAAACAATTACCAAAACATTTGGAACCCAACTTTCATTAACAAAATGCAACATATTACACAATACATGTCATTTATGGTTCTACAGTATTTATGATTAGGTTAATTGTTGGTCTCGTAAGGGTCTACAAGAATAGAAACAGTTTGTAGAAGGGGGGGATGAATACAAACACAATATTTTCAAATTTAAAATATATATTGATAGAGAAGATCAATACAAATTTTACAAGACTGTTTGCGGAAAGATAAGGTAATGAAAACCTATCTAAACAATCTTTGGTTACACACAGAGCTTTAGCAAATACAAGAAAAGAGAATGCTAAAAGAAATATCATTTACTTAAGCTAGAAGATGCTTGAAGTAAGAATAAGGTTAGAGAGAGATGC